AATCCTGCAGTAACAAGTGCTTTGCTCACGTTTTACAAGAGTATACTGAACTCAGCAAGGTAAAACAAGTAATTTGCTAGCAAAGGAGACTAGCGAAAGTGCAAAATGCCCTTCCAAAGCCCAACAGCGCTCATAATTGTATAACATCTCCCGCTCATTGACTGGGTTAAGAAATAAAAGTCAACCATTTTCAAGTGTGAAAAAAGTCTGTTGATCTTCGTAGTTGCTATTTAAGGCCAGTGCTCAAAGCATACCTCAGCAGAAGAGTGACGAAATTCGCTCAACGTTTGTTCAATTTCTATGGTAGCGCTATTCCATGGTGTATTGTCGATACAGAGGTGTGACTTACACATAAATTTTTAGTTTCCGTATTTCAATGCTCGCATGATTCCAGCTGAAAAGAGTCGTCAAGGATCTCCGGCAGCGAGGATTGGGAGTCGCGGTAGTGTCAAATTTTGATGTCCGTCTTACAAAAATACTGCAGGAACTGGAAGTCTACCCAATGTTCGACATTGTACTGGCTAGTGGAGAACTTGGTATCGAGAAGCCTGATCCAAGAGTTTTTCAATTAGTTGCTGATCATTTTGGAATTCGTCCTTCCGAATTGCTGCACATAGGAGATACTGTTAAGAAAGACTATAAAGGAGCTACGGATTTCGGGGCAAATGCTGTTTTGTTCGATCCATCTTCAGCTGATTGCGATGTTCCAAGCAATCACAGGATCACATCGTTCAGCCAGTTGAAGGTGGAGTGATGGGCCTAGTTCTACTATGCCTCTTTTGTTACTTCATCAGTCATGCTTGTGTATTAATTTGCTCAATAAGTTTGTGATTTATTGTTGTTGTGATATGTGCTTTCCATGTGCTCTGAGATGCGGTGTCATGGGAACCTTATAAATAGGAATGGAAGAAAAATTCTCGGTCGTTACTACCTCTAATAACATTTTCATTTAATCTCCGAAGTGTAGCTGATGGAAGCCTGCGAGGCAAAGTGTTCCCTCTAGCTTTGGTCCTCAGTCATCATTGACTTTTTTGTCGCTCCGATTGCGCTATCAGATGTTGCGCAACAGCGTCCCCACCTTAGAAAGACCATTATTTTTTTTAGAGACTGAGTAAAACGGTTCAAATTCTTGCGGGCCATTGTGCTCTTTCTCAGAAATGAAAAAATATTTGGAAAGATCCAAGGTATTCAAAGCACACCTTATCAACAGGGCATGCCTTCATCTCTCTTCGAGAAACTTCAGAGGGTGAAAGGTGCATCATTGGGTTGAAATGGCGGTGTCAGTACGACAACTCGTAAGTTCCTTCCCTGGTACGACTTCCTCCCATTTTCATCCTACCTCAGAACTTCCTCAATTCCCAAGCTCCCTACCGATGTCACCAATTTTTTGTAGAAATTCCTCCACTTCTTCCCCTCTCCAAGAAAAGAATTATCGTCGTGCGGCGAAAGACATCTCTCGATGGCAGTTACCCCTCGCAGATGATTCCCAACATATGGCGTTCGCTGCTTATCAAGGAAACGGCGCCATGAAGTACGTAGACATTCCGGTTCAGACCTTAGGGCGTGCTCACGCGGCTGCGTTTGGCACGTCACCAGTTCTATTCTCCGGGCATGCCGCGTAAGTGGCAATAACGTGAAACGTGAGTGGCATTGTTAACGCGTAAGTGGCAATAACTGGTGAAAAACGACTAAAAACGAAGAAGCGATAGACGATATAGTGCAGTCCTATCGCTTGCCAAAAGAAAAAAGAAGGATTGGCGCCGCGCTAAACGCAGCTCTGCAGACATGGCCCAACATCCGCAGCGAACCAGTCTACACATGTCACTTCAGTTCCATTTTCATTAGGCACTAAAACATAACAGAATACGCGCAGATGTTGGAGTGCTGAAGTACCCTACCCTACCTTCTTTTGAAGAAAGTTTCATCAAAGAGTCCACCCTTCTTCGTTTGTCAGGTTCTTGCCCATCCATCCACGCGTGAACCCAACACTTTGAAACATTCACTTTCGATAGTTTCATTCTTCTCAAATATCAACAAGTCGGCTGAAAGGAAAGATCAGGTTGTGAACGATACGTGGTTGCCTTTCTATTACTATCATGAAGGTGAAACATATAATATTTTTAACAACGAAAACAGCCTCCAACTTAACAGAAAAAACAGTTCATGATTGTACGAACAATTTTATCTAAGCTAAAAATTGAAACATAAATGAGACTAAACTGTATGTGGAAGATTTTCATGGCGAACTGAGCAACGTCTCCTTGAAACCCAATTTCCGGAAAGTAAATCATCGACATACATTAAATACCTAGGAACTACATAAACACTAACAATTTGGTATTACTCTAATTCAGACAAGCTAGAGCTAACTAAAAGAGCTTTTTAAACCAGGTTGGCCGCTCTTTTTCGATTTCTATTATTCGCTTTCCATTTAACACTCCATCATCCACCACATCATCATTGGAAAACCGTACCACAGTCTGTAAACCATCCACTATTTTTAAACAATGCCACAAAAACGGAGCAGAAAGGTTGTTTCAGAAATATTACCTGTTTATCCTGACGCTCTCCTTCAAAGGGTTTGTATGCCATCATTTTTCGTTTAATTTCATTTGTCAACTCGCGAACCTTCAAAGGTAACAGTGCTGATAGCGCCGATAATTGACTTTGTTTTGGCATACCTTTTCGTAACATTTCCCACAAATAGTGTCGACTTGATGGGGAGATCCACATGATGGACAAGTCACCAAATCTGTGGTAGGTTTCAGCAACCGTGTATATGAGAACTTCCGAGTTTCCTTTACAGCTGAATAAATTCTTCTAAGAGAAAACTTCCTAACTGCAAGTCAACATGACTCAGAAGAAGGATCTACTGGCGCCGATCGGCTTGGGAAGGGCATTTTGCACTTTTGCTATTTCTTTTCGCCTGTACATGTAGACTAGCAGGTCTCATTGCGGTGAAACCTGTAAACCTTTGCGAAGCTGCGGAATGGAACAAGTGAGCCATTCCGGCCACCAAAACCAACAGCTCTTCTTAAGATAATCTGTACAAGCTTAGCTGAGTATCATTCGGTGCCCCAACCAAGCCGATCTGCGCCCACTATTTCAATGAAACTGCTCTTCAAAAAGAAGCCACAACAGTCTCAAAAGAGGTGACTAGTTG